TTGTAGTATTTATTTAAATAATTATAATAGTAATTTTTTTAAAAAAACTTTTTTTTTCAAAAAGCACAAAGTATCACATCAACTCGTTTGTATCATATGAAAAATATATGAATTGATCAACAAAGAGCGTAAATTTCTATTTCCAAATTTGGAAAGATCCCTGACTGTACTTGAATGAAGAAAGACGGCTATTTGAAACTATGCAAATTGTCACCTGCTCTTTGTATTGATTTTATTTTCGCTTTTGTTTGTTCATCTTTTTTGTAATCACTTTCTCACTAAAATTCCTTCAAGTTATGAGAAGATGCACATTTCAGATTCAAGGAAAGAAAATAATGAAGATACAGTCATGCACAAATATATACATGATGCATTTAAGAAGACTTTTCATGACTCAAACTATGATATCATATGGTAGGTAAACATGCATTGTTTGATGACATCGATAATTTCTTTGTCTTCATTTTGTTCTCCAATAAGGGCAAACAGTCAAAGCCTCTCATCTAAGGAGCACTGTGCAACCTATGGATGATATAAGGGGAGAAAACCTGATATGCTCATCTGTCAAATTCTTGAAAAAGGGAAATATGATGAATCTTATTTCATTGAAGTGAAACATTTTTCCATCACGAAAAATAGTAAAATTGGCGGTTATAATTTTTATAAAGTTGCCATTCTCTGTCAAGGGGGTATTAATAAAATAGTGTCATCATATGAAAATAAACCCAAAATCAAAATTCAAACATTTGGTGCTTACACTTGTGGTACGTTGTTTTTTTCACTTTTGGTGGTTTCGTTTTTCTAATTATTTTGTTGTAAATACAGGGGAGTATCTTTATTTATTTATGATGGCATCTATTGTTTCTTTCAGCTTTCTGAGATTAAGCTTGTTCAAAATATCCCTGAGTTTAACCTTGTAAGAAGATTAATTGAGTTATATTATTTCAAGGTAAACCTTTCTCATTAATAAGTTAGATAATTCCTAATTCTACATACTTACCTCTTTTTTATTTAGTGTCATATTGACTGTTACTATTCTAATCGAAATAACCATGATGAATTCACTGAATTCCTTGCACCTACTCCTTGTCAAAATATCTTCTCTCATTCTCCAGTTATCACGCCTAAAACATCTGGAGGCAGGATACCAATCATTAGCTTGAAAATTGAAGAGACTAAACAGAAAACAGGAAATAGAAAAGAAAAGGCATGTAAAGCTCAATCTCATAAGACATGGAAATAGAATAAGTATGAGTTAACCATCCAAGTAAACAAAGTAAATAGGTGTAACTGAAAACAATAAAGTTTCACCCAGATGAACTTTTACCTTTAGGTTCATGACAATGTCTGAAGTGGTATTGTTTCTTTAAATTTTCATCTATATATCCTTAAATCTGGAAAAACAAGCCCTCTAGATAAAAAG